CTTTACTCTTCTTTAAGTAATAGGCGCCGCGGGTTCCTCTACTATGGCTTGCGAGGTTATGTTTGCCAAATGCAATATACAGAGCGACCACTATCAATATGCATTGTGTGTCAACTGGAATGACGCGACCTAGAAGTGGTCGAGAATCGACCTGATGTAGGGTGAAGTGGTATCCTTACTCTACATTTGAAGATCGCTTCTGAGATCGCGACAATTCCCTAAGGAGGATTTGAGCAGTGTGCGACCTGTGTTGGAACACGTTTTGTTGATCGTGTACTAGTTTATTGCTCTTTGAATTTGTTCCCGTAACTGTTAATCGTATCACCTTTTCAGGACCACCAAGGTACCCGGTGGTTGCGAGCTTCCTTCTCCGTTGTTCTCGCCTTAGGGGTGTCCATTGCCTTAGAGTCTGTAAAGGTGGACATGTAGGGGTGACTCAAACTCTGCATAAGTTACCTCATACGACGACTCATATTAGTAAAAGAACCCTGGTTTCTCTTCATAGCCGCCAAAACCCTAAAAACCCTCAAAATTCTAAAGAATGATTTAAAGATCTATGCCCTAAGTCTCATCTCTAAATTGTTTCTTTTCAAATACTACCCAAGAATGTTCATCATCTAAGGCTATCAGAGTCCATGCTCGCCATTACTATAAAACTAAGTTTAACAGAAATGAAAAAGAGGAGAAATTTCTTTACCTTTTGATTGTTGGGAATGGATGCTCTATCGTAGTGTTGAGGGCATATCAAACCAGGAAAAGGATGAATTGATTTTCTTGAGTGCGAAAATGTTGTTTTTCTCTCTAAAAATTGAGTTATGTGAAAAAAATTAGAATGGAATTTGGGTTTTATAAGGTGGAAGACGATGCTTGGTTTCTTTTGTAAGCGACGTTGTGCAAGAATGCGTTTCCAGCCATTGATTGTGACCATGTGTCACTAATTTATGTGAAAAGTGACCTTCACACTTCTGAAGATCAACAGTGTTTCTTTATTGAAATTGCCAAGCGCCGATGTGATTATCTCCTTCACAAAAATGTGCCCTCATTCGCATTTAATGCTTCAAAAGGGAATGTCGTTTCAGCATGACTTGTATTATTCTCATGGTTGACACTTATGCACAGAGACACGTTTGCAGATAAAGCTTATTTTATTGACCAAGACAACTGTAAGCGCAATAGATAACATCTGAGGAGGTCATTCGAATAAGACATTTTTTTCCACATGTCAAACTCGAACATTGACGAGATGATTCTTAGTTTTGATATCAAAGTGTTCTAAGTGTTTTTAGGTCATAAATGACAGGTAGAGTTTGAAACTATTTTCATAGCATTGATCAAGCTGGCTCAGGTTGCTAGACCTTTGTGAACGATCACATCAGGTCACTTGTGTAGTTCTCAAAACCATGTCACGATCTACACACAATTCGCTAGTCGAGTCAAGCCATCATCCTTATGTTGTTTGTAACAATGTGGCTGTTCTCAATTGCTAGTTCGGGAAAACACTCCTCGAGACAAATGAGATTGCGGCATATCATGAAGTTCTCAAGATTCAATTCTTGAACCTTAAGAACTGGGTAGCTCTTACTATGTATAAAAAATCAGGGCCGACGTAAACTTACGTCAGCAAGCAACAATCAGAGTTCATGAAGGTTTGCGCCGTCCAGGTGTTGCCACGTCGACCCAAGACAGAAGAAATACGAATGTCTCAACTTATCAGATTCAGGTTTTGTCTATGAGTGACTAAGGACCGCACACTGTCCAAGCCCCAGATAATTTGAGGATATTTTCCTATGTATCAACCAATGCAAGGCAAGGAAGGACTTGCACGGCACCTACCCACTTGCAAATTTGTAATCATCACCTTGAATTCCTCTACTATAAATAGAGGACTCCCCCTCTCATGTTAGGGATCTTCTGATCCTGAACCCTTATTCTGATTATACTATTTATTTTCAGAGCAAAGATAACCCCCGAGAAAGAGATTGACTCGATATTCTCTCTGAATACTCAGTTATTGTAACTTTGCCATTGTTCGCTATACACAACCTCTTAATCTCTTATATATAAAAGAACAGGGCGTAGGATTCACTTTAAGCATCCGAACCACTTTAAATCATCTCTCTATCATTATTATTCAGTCTTTGTATTCGATTATATTGATTAGCTCTCTCACAATCATTCCAGTGTAATTTCTAAGAACAGCTTAGCACTTACACGTGTAAGTCGTTGGTGTCAAAATCACGCATCAACATACTTGAATTTGATTAAAGAAAGTTTGTGTAAAAATGAAAAAGCCTTTAATTTGTTTTAGAAAGGTGAAATTGACATTTTGAAGTGGAGTGTTATGCTAGCTTGTGCTAGACCTAGGCAACAATGACTATGCTAAGCCAATTATTATCTTGATTTATTATTTTGACTTTATAAGGTCTTTTGACGACTTACATGTAACCTTATTAAGATTTGTCAATGTTAACATAACTATGGGGTGTGAATCATATAGTGACTTTAATAGTAACTCACAGAGAATGAGAGTGAGATTGCTTTTTTTTTTTTTGATCATCGGGGTGTGTCTAGGTTAGTGATGCGTATTTCTTACAACATGCAAAAAATAGCAAGTGCACTAGTCGTCAGTAATAAAGTGATGGGTAGGATATCGTTCCCACGAGGGACTGGTAGCAAAGCACTAAGTTTCCTAACGTTAACAAGTTGAAGCAATCGAATTTCTTGGATTGGTGGGAGCAAATTGTAATTTAAAAAGAAAACAAAAAGAAAATTTAACAAAGAATTAATTCTTAGATAGAAAGCAAATGAAACACAGAATATCAATTCAAGCAAAAGGGTAGGGTTTTGACCGTTTGGACTTTTATGGGTTAAACCTAAGAGTTACTATTTTCACATTCACGCGAATGGTTGTAAATCGGATTCACTAATATGTTAACATACCCTCTCGGGCTATGTTTTCCTATTCATCCTTATAACATTCCGCACCCAACAATTTGAAGTAAAATTCTAAATTCATGAAGCACAAGAATCCTAAATTGATTCATAATTCTTGAATCTATCTCTAGCATCCAAACTATAATGGTGATTACCCAAGAAGCTTAACATGAATTATTTCTCAACCTCATCATGTTCATCACATACAGCATTTAATTTCAGAGTAACACACAACCCAAGCTATTTACATGGAAATAACAATCAAATACTAACCCATTTCAAATCCAAACTACAATCAAAACCCTAACCCATAGAAGATTAGTTCATAACTAAATTAACAATACAAACGAACAATAGAAATAAACAAGTTAAACATAATGAAACTGAGATGAAAGATAAGAAATCTCCCCAAAAGATGAATCTTCTAGTCAAAATCTGAATCTTCCTTCTAACAATCCGAAAAATCAAGCTTTTTCTCAAGGAAAATGTAAAAGACGGCTAAACCTAACAGCTCAGCTCCCTTGGCAAAAAGTTAAGTTTTCCTTTTATACCTAGTCAAAAACCTAGCCAAAAACAGCACACACGAAACTGTGCGTTTACAAAACTGAATAATTTGACTGTCGCCGCGGCGAAGAATGAAAATCCACATCGTCTCTGGCCTACATCGCCGCGGCGAAGACAATTTCTTCGCCGGGGCGAAGCTCCTTCAAAGGTTCTGAAATTTACAGAACTGCCACTCTGCTTGCTTCTTCGTCGATTCTTCGATTTTTCGGCTCTCTTCCTTGGAAACAAGCTTATCGTGCGTTGTCCTGCTCTGGAACTCTCCTATCTTCTGAAATCGCTCAATTCTGAGTCAAAACTATCCAATTTTGTCTTTATTCGCTCAAAAAGTCCATTTTAACCTGAAACACGAAAAGTAAAGAATTAAGCACCAATTCAGGTAAAAATGCACTAGAAAGTACCTGAAATCCGACAAAAAGATCAAATAAAAACTGTATAATTTACGGATTATCAGTTAGTTTGCGCACATCTCAACTAATCCACCGAGACTCTAGAATTGCTGGTCGTGTAAGAGTCCCAACGACCACCTCCCTCGGGGCCTTGGAACTGCCGGCTGGGTGAGGGCTTTAGTAGCCACCCTATTAGTGCTTGGAGGGACTCGAACTCAAGAGTTTATAAAACCTCCTTTTACTTTGTTACCATTAGGTCACCTAGTGGTGATTAAGTGAGACTACGTTGGTTATTAGATTTTCTTGGATTTAGCTTGAAATAATTTTGATTTTTATATGGTTTTTTTCTTTTTTTTTGGATGTGATTTTGTAATTTTGTTGGTTTTGGAATATTTTGATTAAAAATTAGTTTTGTTTTGGATTTGAATAGACATCGGAGTTGGAGGTGCAATTAAGAGGTAAAGATGACTTGAGAAGTGGAATTTTTATTTTATTTTTTCAATCAAAATATGTCGAAAAGTGATAGAGCCAACGAAGGTTCCGCACCGAATCTGTGCACCGAATGACGTGACAAAATCTTGACCGTTGATTAATATTAACTGATAATGAATCAACGGTCAAGATTTTGTCACGTCATTCGATACACAGATTCGGTGCACAACCTTCGGTGGCTGTAGCATTACTCAAATATGTTTGCCTTCAAATCTAACTACCGTCATTAACTGTGGGGAGGTCAGCGAAAATCGTCAAAAACATAGGGGTAAAATTAATATTTCTACAAACCTCAGGGGACGTAAAATTAATATTTCTACAAACCTCAGGGGAGGTAAAATTATTACCCCATCTTTAAAAGGTAAAACATCTAAATTTGGGAAAGCAATAATAACATAGCAAAGTCGCGAAAATTCATACTCCAACGCACCAAAAGTCCAAAACCGAAACCAAACTCCAGAGAGAAGNTTCTACAAACCTCAGGGGAGGTAAAATTATTACCCCATCTTTAAAAGGTAAAACATCTAAATTTGGGAAAGCATTCTACAAACCTCAGGGGAGGTAAAATTATTACCCCATCTTTAAAAGGTAAAACATCTAAATTTGGGAAAGCAATAATAACATAGCAAAGTCGTGAAAATTCATACTCCAACGCACCAAAAGTCCAAAACCGAAACCAAACTCCAGAGAGAAGAAGAAAGAAAGAAAGAGATGGGGTGGATCGGAGACAGCATAGAGTCCATCAGGTCAATGCAGATCCGCCAGTTCCTCACTCAGGCCGTCAGTCTCGGTTCGTCTCTTTCTCCTTTTTTCCTTCATTTTTTTCGTTCTTTTTTTTTTAATGCTTCAAAACTATTGTAGTTGCATGCTAGTAAGAATACTGTCTGTTTATATTTTTCTGTATGCAAAATTGACGAGAAAATAATGAAATTTGAGATTTTCTTTTTCGGGATTGGAATTTTAGATAAGTGGGTTTGTGAGATTAAAAATCGTTTCTTAATTGGGTGTTTAATGTGTCAATTTTGAATCTTTGATTTCCCACTTGGGAAATTGATCGCAATAGAATAAGCTACAGTTTTCTTTTTTGTTTTAGTTATGGAGTGTTGATTAAATTTATGGTTTTTTAGCCCGTTTCCTGTGTGAAAGGTGTTAAAGATCGTTTCTTTCATTTAATTTTTAGAGGGGCACCACTTTTGTAAAGCCATGGGTTAGTAAGGTCTTTTGACATGCGGGTTTATGAGGTTTTGTGAGAATATTTATATCCATTTCTACAGTTCTGATTTTGAACAACTTGGCATAGGTAACAAATTGAGATTGTCGCATATGCTCAAATGTTTTGTTATTTGTCGAATGTTTTCTTAAATATATAGTTTCTTTTTAGCCATTATGCTCACAAATTGAGAAACTTCTTTTGCCAAATGTGACTGGATTATAAGCTTTAAGGGCGATTATGGTGCAGTTGTTTAACTGGTAATAGAAGGCTGTATTTGTAAAAGGTTGTGATGTATGCTGCAGTCTGGTTAAAATATTTGTTTATGTGAGGGTCTGCATTTGTCTTAGGTATGATTGTTACATCTGCACTAATAATTTGGAAGGGACTGATGTGCATCACTGGAAGTGAATCTCCTGTTGTTGTTGTTCTTTCTGGAAGCATGGAACCTGGCTTCAAGAGGGTATGTCAATTTACTTTCTAAATGTATTTATGTTTTGCATAAAGTTATATGAGAGTTATGGAGTTTTTAGCGTGTTGCAAATTTAGGTGTGGATTTATTATTATATCTATAAAACTTCTTCTGTAAGCAAAGGGGAAAGGTGTGTACCCTTCTAAATTATCAAGAATACAAGATAAGACATAAATCTTCAGCAGGTTTTACCTTTGGGTTCCTATATCTATATTTCACATGTTTGGTTATTTCTAATGTCATAAGAATTTATATTCTCATTTTCATATGGCTACATGATTTCTCAAGTCGCTTAACTAACTGCTGCCAAATGGTTTACAGGGCGATATTTTGTTCTTACATATGAGTAAAGATCCTATTCGCGCTGGAGAGATTGTTGTTTTTAATGTTGATGTAAGTGCCTTTTTACCTTTGATCTTTATATGTCTTTCTATTTCTTTATCTTGTTAAATTTCTTTTCAATTATTATTCATGATTTTTGAAAGGCTTGTTCTACTTATTTCAGGGTCGGGAAATTCCAATTGTCCATCGTGTGATTAAGGTAAATGTTTCCTGACTTTATACTGCACATGGTTACTTATATTGACTCGGTTTGTATACTGTTCATTATGACTTCTGCACTGGTGTGGATGCATGCTAATAATTTTATCCGTCTGGTTTAGTAGGTGAAGACCTCTTTTCTTCTCTTTTTCCATTTTTAATGGCTGGGGTGGTATATGGACATCGTTGATTTTGTATCCTTGTTCTGTTTTTCCCTTTCTTTTTTTTTTTTTTTTTTTTTTTTTTTTTTTTTTTTTTTTTTTTTTTGTTTTAAGTTTAAATTTTCATGGATCCATATATTTCTTGAAAATACTCCTGGGAGATGATTTACAAGGCTCAAAAATCATAACTTTTCCACCAGGTTAACTGAATCCATTACATTTCTCCTGATTTTATTGGATATGGCTATTCCTAAATATGATTTATTGCATAGAGCATGAGATCTTCCCCATAGCCATAGTTTGCCACTATTCTGGAATGTTGTTTTGTTCTTCACCTTTTTTGATGCACTCGTCAAATCATTGAGGCCATAATCATGATTAATACATTCTCATTGATCTCAATGTTGGGATATGGTGGTAGATACCCTGATCTTTTTCACTTTCATGGCTCTAATAGTTCTATACGATCCCAGTCTTGATAGGCTCAATTACTTCATATGGACTGAGATTCTGCTCTTCTGCTAAATAAAGTTTCGTCCATCTGAACATAAGCTCGAAAGGCCTTTTCACTTTTTCCCTGTTATTATTTAAAGTGAACTTGTGTTAGTAAATCTTATTTTTTAATTATAATGCAGGTTCATGAACGGCAAGATGGAGAAGTTGATGTCCTCACAAAAGGTGACATCTTCTTGAAATAAATGTTTAGTTCTTTTAATTTACAAGGTTGTGTTATTCAGTATATAATGTTCTTCCTTTTCAATTTACTTTAACAGGAGATAACAATTATGGGGATGATAGGCTTTTGTATGCTCAAGGTCAGCTTTGGCTTCAACGGCACCATATTATGGGCAGAGCTGTGGGGTAAAATCTCTCATTTCTAGTATTATCCTTCCTTTTTCTGGAATACTTGGATATTACAGAGAATTGAGCACTTGAATGGCCGGGTTAAAAAACAATAGCATGTACTGTTTTTAGTGTATGACATGCACACAGAAAGAGTTGTGAACAGTGTATATTTATTTCACATTTTAATTATGGTCTAAGTTGTCTTTTTCTATGCTCTAATTAGGAGAATGTATCATAGAATGTGATGGTATAGTGCATTTTCATATTGGACTGCAGAAAAAGGCTTGATTAACATTTGGTGGCCCAAAGTTAGAAAAACATTTTGGTTATTATCTAAATATAATTGGAAGCGACTCATTCATTCCCTACATCGTCTTCCTGACCTTTTTATAATCACCTTGGTCCTTCATTGTGAATCATTTCTCATTGTTAGAGGAGAAAAAAGGCTTTAGAGGATTGTTCAATTGTCTTCTATATTTTTCTCATGTTTTTGCAAGCTTATTTTTTCGTTAGCAGTTTGTCAATTGCGCTGGTGTTTAAGGCCATAGGTTGACTTGAACTGCAACAATAGGATAGGTTAACCCACCAATTTGGTTTGCTGTGGTGATTGTCATGGAGTGGATTTGTGTGCTATTAATGAGGTATGGAGAGTGATGCGACATTAAAAACCTTGATTCTTGAAGTGCATGGTTTGTGCTCACTTTAATAGATCTAGTTTCCTCTCTATGCATATTATTTTAACTCCCTTGAATTAATAGTTGATTTAGTCAGTTGGAAGATAGAGGGAACTAGAGATCTTGGGTTCCTAGATTAGTTGCAATCCTAGCTTGATGTCTTGTTTGGCCTCTAAGGAGTGCTGGAACCTTCTTTCAATTAAAGATTCATTTGGTTGGGGGAAATTGATGGCAATTACAGGTTACATCATTATATTCTAAATAGGAAAGATATACATAATGTTTGTGTGAAATATAGAATGAAAGAATCACCATTCTTCAGGTTTCTTCTTTTCTGATTGATTTTCCTCCATTATTAGATGCCATTTTAGTCTTTGTATACTCTTAGGCCATGTTTACTTAATGGATTGGAATGTTTAAGGAAAAGAAGTTGCTGTCTTATTTCTCAAAATATATGAAATAAGCCATCATATTACTTACAGCTTACCTTATCTGATTTGCAGGTTCTTGCCTTATGTTGGATGGGTGACTATTATCATGACTGAAAAGCCTATTATCAAGGTACGATTTTTCCGAAATATTCTGTTTCAGGCTTTCAGCTAGTTCACCACAGTATTGTCATTGGAAACAGGAAGTTTAATTTTCAATTTCAACTGCTAATAAACACGAGCACACAGTCCAGGAATATTTCTGCTTTTACTGTAATGAGCATTTTGTGCCCTGGTGCCATCTTCATCTAAGTACTAAGCTAAATGTTCATGAACTTCTATTAAAATTTTATAAATCTATAAGATCGGTGGATACGAGTTATTTTGTTGTATGAACCTCATTTTGATAAATGTTTTTTTCTGTTCTTGCTTGCAGTATATTCTCATTGGGGCACTGGGACTGCTCGTTATAACTTCGAAGGACTGAAAGCTGGAAGTTCAAGGAGATGCTTCCAACCTTGAGCAAATGCGCAATGACCTGGCCTTGAACCATTTTTCCTATCCATGTACGACGGACCCAAAGAATAGTTGAAATTGATCGGATAAATTAAACATAATAGATGACTCTGTAGACCAGTCACCCGCCAATTATAAATGGGATTTTTGTTCTACCCCTCTTTGCTATTTATGTGACTTGTATCTTAGAAGTGAATGTGGAGACTGAATAATTAAGTTAAAGAATGGAGGCGTTCAAATCATGGGTTCCAGAAAAAATTAAAGTTTTGATAACTCGAATTAATATGCAGAAGAACATGAGTTTTATCTTTTAGGGTTTTTATTCAAGGAATTTAATTTGTTTTCTTAAAAATTTAAGTTTAAATTTTGGATCTGTATTTAAGAATTTTCACAAGTACAGATGTGAAAAATCAAACAAATTCAAAAAGTGTTGCATTTACGGCAGTTAAATCTGTTTTACATTACCGGCATGAGAATTCTTCGATTTCATTTGGGGTTTTACTGTTAAAAAAAAATTAAAAAATAAAAAATAAAAGAAGCTCGTCACTCTACAGTGACGGAAACAACAGAGAGCCGGGTAGAAATAAAACCCTCCAAAACCCTTCTGTTGAGGAACGTCGCCTATTTGGCATTGGTTCCATCTGTTTTAGCAGAGCTCCGATTTCGTGCATTGGCCTTTTCCTTCCAGATATGGTGAGTGAGCTTTGATCTCTTTTCTGTGAAATTATTCGCTTTATTTTTTTTTTTTTATTCATCTTGATATAACAAATATAGCTTTTGTTTCCTTTTCGGTACTTGGTGATATGGTTTAAGTTTATGGAATTTTACTTTGATGTGTTTATGTTATTGGGTTCTTAAATTTGTTTAATGGGTATGAATGTCTGATCAAGACGGTGGTTGAATAACTGCTTTTTGTATTTAATTTAATTTATTGGCTTCTTCCTGTTTGATAAAATTCCTCAGTGAAGATTATAATATGGTGATTTAGTTATATGGGTTTGTTTCATTTTGAGGCAAACACCATTGCTGTCATTCACGGGCCAATCTTCTTGTTGGATAGAATTCATTTTCGAAACCTTTAGATTAACCCTAAGAAAACTTGTTCTTGTTAAGCTTATGGCCAATCCCTGCAATAAGCTTGTTGTAACGAAGCAGCTTACAAAGGAAGATGTGGATTTGCGATTAAATTCAATAACTTCTGTTTGCATTGTTTGCTATAAATTTGACATGGAAATGAAATATTTTCATCACAATTTGTATTTTCTCATTTTCTTTTATGTTGCTTCGGCTATATAACATTAGATGTCTATATTTTAAGTTTTATTTTACTTTTCTTTTCCCATATTTTCTAACTTATCAATTAGTAATTGTTTGAAACTAAAATCTATTCTTTTCGTTGTGTTTTATAGTCTAATTGTTAAACCACTAGTTGGATTTCTGTGTATTTGATAAGGAAGATTTGTAGGTCATACTGTGAAAAGTTTGGTATTGTTATATCTTTGTTTTAGTCTGTTATGAGTATTCTTCTCTAAATGGGTTTAAATGTAGAAGTTTACTCGGTCTCTAGATTTTCTTGTGCCTTTCTGTGCTTTTGGGTTGCTGGGAGGAAAAAACTAAATGAAAATTAAATAAGTGGTTTTGTGTTGCAACTTCTGGAGCCAGTAAATGAGCCAGAAGTTTAAGTCATTTAAAGCAAGTTATTGTACTAGTTCAGTTTCTTTGATATTGTTGTATTCTTGGCTCACAAGCAATATGGAAGATTAACTTGTAAGGTCTGAACCAAGTGATATTTTTTCTGTGCTCCATCAAATGACTTTCTTTCAAGGATATTCAAGTCCACTGTGTGTATTTGTTACCACATTAGCCATTAAAATTCATGTTTGACTGCTCCTAGTTTATTGCAGTTTACTTATTATGATAATCTTTGAACAGGAATAAGTCAGTTGCGAGGGCCTTCATCGGTGGTTTGTTATTCTTTGAATCAGAATGAGTCGGTCACAAGGGCCTTCATCCAATAAGCGGAAAAGGCCAGACTTGAATTCACCTGCTGATCCTCTAACAGAACATGAGCGCCTGCTCTATGACGTAATCAGAAGCAAACAAGATATGGGTATGTGGTCAAGAGACATGAAAAGGGAGACCAACCTCCCTGATAATATGGTTAATAAATCCCTCAAATCACTCCAAGCCAAGAATTTGATCAAAGAGGTCGTGAATATTCAAAACAAGGGAAAGAAACACTTCATGGCATCAGAGTTTGAACCCTCGAAGGAAATCTCTGGTGGAGCCTGGTATGCTGGTGGGAGCTTAGACACAGAATTTATAACACTTGTGAGAGAACAATGTGTAAAGCACATATTCCGTTTGAAGCTTGCTACTTTGGAGGGAGTTTCAGATTTAATTAGAAGGAGTGGGGTATTTGCAGTTGACTTGTCGAATCAGCAAATTGAAGAGATCATGAAGGCTTTGGTTTTGGATAATGAAATTAATGAATTGAAGAGTAATGGAAGCGGGGAGTTTGCTAGTATTCCGAATGGAAAAACTTGTTATAAATGCGTAAGTAAGGAAAGCCGTGGGGGTGAAAAGGGAGGCAGTGGAGGTGAACCAAAGATAGGGGCCTTGGCTTCCATTCCTTGTGGAGTTTGTCCACAGATAAATCTTTGTACACCTGATGGCATAATCTCCCCGACAACCTGTGTCTATTACACCAAATGGTTGGACTTCTAAATCTACTGTATTTAGCCACAACGTTTCAGTTCAGATATGATGTCGCGAGATTAAATGTCAAACAATTTTGTTCATGTTGGTTGGTATTATTAGGATTGTTAATTGCTTATAAGGTTTTAGTTGAGAGAAGATTTGAGAAAGGAAAGAATTGTGATATTGCAGGAATTATTTATAAGTTGTGAGTTGTGAGAAATAGGGTGGATATATTATGTAGATGATGACACATTTATGAAGATGGCTAAACAAGAAGTATTCTATTTGAAATTCTTGACTCTTGAAGCAACTGGTATTCAACAATGTTTTGAGACCGGATTGGGCCTTGACTTGGTCAAGGGCTCGGTTCACAGTTTTACCGGTAGTCTAAAAAGTTTGAAATCTTGCAAAAACACCCTGAAAATATGTTTTAGTCCCTGCAGGTTTGGAATCTAGCAAATACACCTCTACGATTTGTTTGGGTTTTGACTTTTTCGGCCAAATTCCGTCTGATTCTGGTGGCCAAAATTCAATCTGACACAACCACCTGAACCATCGTCTTCTAATCTACAAAACCTCTCTAACCCTGGAACTTGGTAGTCTCTTGTTCATCGGTTGTGACTCACGAACACAGCCACGATTGGGTTGATTTTTTCAACTAAATTTTGGCTGATTCCGACGTCACAAATTTAATCCAACACCACCATCTGAACCGCTGACATTCACTCTACAAAACCCATCTAACTCTAGCACTTGATAGCCCCTCGTTTGTTGGCCGTGACTCGCTTATTAGGTTGATTTTTCTGGCTGATTCTAGCATCCAAAATTTAATCTAACACCACCCCTTGAACCATTGGCCTTCGCTCTACGAAACCCCTCTAACCTCGACACTTGATAGCCTCCCATTCGTCGGCCATGACTCGCGTATTGGGTTGATTTTTCCAGCCGATTCCAGCGTCCAAAATTTAATCCAATACCATCTCTTGAACCACTGGCTTTCGCTCTATGAAACCCCTTTAACCCCGACACTTGATAGCCCCTCGTTCGTCGGCGGTAAGATTAGGGATTTGGATGAACAGTAAAATTCCAAATTGGGACCAAAGAGGACGTCGGTCGATGGTGTTCGGTTGGTCTGGTTTGGTTTTCAGATCATTGGTATTCAATGTGTAGGATTTTTTTTGGCTAGAATAAAATATTGTGCTTTATATCTGAATTGTCATTAATTCAGATGAATGTGAATGTTGATCTCTAAGACCTTTAACATTTTAGCCAAAATTATGGAGTATGGAAACTCAAATGATGCCTTGGAAAAATAGTCCTTATGTTAGTTGTTATATTATTTAGGATATATATAATTTGAGATATTCTATTATTCTTACTTAAATTGAGTAGTATTATCCTTTCCTAATAAAATGCCATATGATTGTGTTATGAGCTGTGCAAGAAGATAAGGTAAAATGAAGTAAACCCTTCCTTGTTTTTAAGGTAAAAACACAAATTAGTATAAATATTAATCATTAAAATATTAATGTATTCTAATTGATATGCTATATATGCAAGTATGATTGGATAGCTATCTATCTCTTTCTCGAAAAAAACTCTAAAATTTTAATTTGGTATGTTTTTAAAGGTTTGATGAGGGCTAAAAGGAATAGAATCCATCAGCATCTATCATATATGGTTTAAAGTAATTATAAATTCTATGTTTATATGTAGATATTCTTATATATTGTATGCTTGCTTAACTCGCCAAGTCACTCTTTGAACACAAACTTCACCATTGATTCAACATCTTTGCCACCAATCATTTCATTTAGCTATGTTGGTAAGCAATCTTTCTGTATTATCAAGAGGGATTCAAATTTGCTCTTGCATCATTCATCAGTTTAATTTTTTTTTTTTTTTTCACTTTGCAGGATTTATTGGGAAGAATATATATTTTGAGCCTGATCTCAGTAGTGTCAATATTTTTCATGAATGTGTATGCTGAGAATACATTTAACGTTTTAGATTATGGAGCAAATGGTGATGGAAACTCGAATGATTCTTGGTATAACATCTTCATCTTTTTTTTTTTTTTTAATCTAAAGCTGAAAATGGTTTAACAGTTTTGAATTAGAGGCATTTGAGAAAGCTTGGACGAAACCTGCAATGCAATGGAAGGCACACCAACCATGATTTCAAAGGGAAGACATTTCTGGTGTATCCCATGACCTTCACTGGCCCTTGCAAAATACCGTACAACATCCGAGTAAGCAAGAAACAATAATTTTATTACTAATATATAATAGATAAAAATCCCCTCACCTTAATGTAGTGTTCCTGTAGCTGTCAGGAATAGTGAGCTCCAGATGATCTTCTGCATGGCAAGCTTCAGAGAGGGAAAATGGCTAGTTTTTAATGGCGTTTCAGAGCTAAATATCAGTGGCTTTGGCCTCATTGGAAAGTGAAAGAGGTGGTGGGAATTCAGGCAAACTTAAACCCATAGAGGTATAATATAATTATAATATATGCGTTAATTCTCTAGTAAGGAACGTCTTGATAGATGAATATAATTTATATAGGACGTCTTGGCCAGTGGTTTACTTTACCTATATAATCCAACATGCAGACTTCTTATAATTTTTGATATTTTGCAGGGCTGTACAACACTGGCACCTACAGTAAGTCAATGAGTGATATTTTTGTATCAAAATCTTTTTGCAGCCATAGATATATACGAAGCTGATGCAAGTTTTTCCATATTCTTTTTACAGGCAGTGAGTTTTTAGACATTGTAGCATGTGCATATGACCGGAATTTTGTTGTGTGGAGTCCTCAAACCCATATACTTGTAACTGATAGTAAAAATGTTTAGCTTCAGATCCTTGTGATAAGATCTCCTGTAACAAGCCCCAACACTGATGGAATTCACATTTCAAATTCCCGGAATGTATCTGTCCAATCCTCGATTATTGGCACTGGTAAAATGTTCATTTCTTAAAATTCCTCTTGCAATCCTCAGCACTACATTTTTTTTTTTTTTTTTTTTAATGGAACACACAGGGGATGATTGCATCTCGATTGGTGATTATGTTTCAAAGTTAAAGTCAGCTATGTAAATTGCGGACCTGGTCATGGTATAAGGTAGTGCCACAAGTATTAATGATATTATCTGAATTTTGAGCAAATTTGTTATTTGCTACTTGGTGGGTAGCATTGAAGCTTAGAGAGATGGAAATGAAGTACAAAGTAAAACATACTGTGAGAAATGTTTCTTTCTACAAGACTACCAATGGAGCCCGATCAAGACTTGGCAAGTATGATTCTTTCACTATTATAATATCTGATAGCCTATTTTCTTTTCATTCATGTATTAATGTGATTATCAATAAGATAAAGCTTCTAATAATCAGGTTAATTTGATCAGAGAGCTGCAAAAATTGCAGTGTAATAAAACATAAGATGGAAATTAACCGCTATAATTTCAGTGTAAAATCTTAATACTTCTACAACGAAGTATGTGACTTAATTACTCCGATGGTCAAGTCGTTCATAGAAATTTTGGGTTGTATTACTTAAGAAGTCTTGATTTTGAGTCTCTCTCTTGTTGCAATATGAGTAGTCACTGGAACTCTACCTAACTGATATTTCAGGGTCTCGAGGGGTTAGTTGATGTACCGTAAACTGGCTCGGCACCCCCGATCATCCAAAAAAAAAAAAAAAAAAAAATGATGCGACTTGCTAGTTTTTTTACGAATTGAATTGAATTATTAGGTTGGGAGAGGTAGGTTCGAATGTGAGTTCTCACATCTAACGTTTGTAAGTGGAGAATTCGATAATCATGACCAGTTCTACTGTGAGTCGGGGGGGGGGGGGGGGGGAGGGGGGGGGGGGGGGGGGGGGGGGGGGGAGGGGGGGGGGGGGGGGGGGGGGGGGGGGGGGGGGGGGGGGGGGGGGGGGGGGGGGGGGGGGAAGGGGGGGGGGGGGGGGGGGGGGGGGGGGGGGGGGAGGGGGGGGAAAAAAAAACAAAAAACAACAACACAAAAACAAAACAAACAAGGGTGGGTGGGACGGGGGGGGGGGGGGCTGGGGGGGGGGGTGGGGGGGAGGGTGGGTTTTTGGGGCGTGGGGGGAGGTCGGAGGGGGGGGGGGGGGGGCCGGGGGGAGGGGGGGGGGGGCTGGGGGTGGGGGAGAGGGGGTAGTGGGGTGTGGGGGGAGGGTGGAGTGTGGGGGGGGGGGGGGGGGCGGGGGGGGGGGGCGGGGTGGGGAGGTGGGGGGTGTGGGGGGGACCCCCAGGGAGGGGTGGGGGGTGGTGGTTTGATTGGGGTTTGGCCAGTTTCGGGTCTGTTGGGGGGGTGTTGGGGGGGGGGGGGTCGCGGGTAGGGGTGTGGAGGGTGGGGGCGGGGGTGGGGGGTGTGGGGGGGTGGGGTGGTGGTGGTGAGGGGGGGTTGGGTGGGGGGGGAGAGGGGGGGGGGGGGGTAGGTCGGTGGTGGTCGGGGGGGGTTGGGAAGGGGGGTTGTTGGGGGTTGTGTTGGGTGTGGTTGGTGTGGGCTCTGGAAAAAAAAAAAAAAGATTTTTGATGTGGTGGACGTGGGGGGTGGGGGGTGTTGGGGGGGAGGTTGGTGGGGGTGTGTAGGGGCTGTTGGGGTGGGGGTGGGGCGGGTATGTGTGGGGTGGTTTGGGTGGTTCTTCTTGGCTGGAGGGTAGGTGGGGCGTGGGGGGGAGTACAGGCTGTGTTGCGATTTGTGGGTGGAGTTTATTCCTTGTTAACACCACGGTAAGAAAATAAACTCTTGATCTTAATGTGTTCTATGCCATTATCTAAATTTAGTTTATCTTGTATATATGTGATAAGAAAACCGGAGTCATATAACAGTGTGCGTTCTCCCATTTGGCCGGACATCCACCACCGAGTGGCCAACAATCTTGGTTGACCAACATCAGCCTTGAGATATTCGATTGAAATCAGCCACTAAAGGAACATCTCGTTTCTAGCTGCAACAATGCTTATGGACACAATTTAGGATTGTAGACCCAGATCATGTCTTTGATTTTTATCAACGCAATTGAACACATCCTTCTTCTTACATGCTTGTACGCTATTATGTAAGTTTATCAATTAACAAGCTATCTAATTTTTCCTACTTGTAACTTGTAAGTGGAGTAAACGACTTTTTCCCACCCAAGGTTTGCCTTATGACATTTCCCCAAAGTTAATATTCTGTTACCACCCAAAGCTGGTTCTGGTGACGAAAAATCTTTTTGTCACCATCATTTGAACCCCCGTTGCCTTTACAAACCCCTCTCCAATTCGGGACTTGATTTTTTGTTGATTTTCGATCACTGCAAAGTTGGGTTTCTTGTCTTAAATAATTTCTGACGGAATATTCAATCGGTCACTACTATTCAATCCACCGGCCTCCACCTACAAAAACA